AAACAGGAGCAGCTAGGATTTCAATTCAAAGGGATTCTTAACCTAAAAATATCAACAAATACAACCCTGCTTTCAGTTTTTGTCGACATTTTTATGCAACCTATCTTTGCTTCCTGCCCACCGTGAGCAGTAGAGCCATTTTCGTATGTATGTAGCTTGTATTTGATGAGTAATTTGCTTTTTTTAGTAGCCAGACGATTTTACATATACATTTTTTGCTCTATCAGTTAAATGTAGAACATCTTTCTTTATTAAAGCTGTAATTATATTTTAAATATATTCTTTTGTTTTCTATATACATGCCATGTTCGAAAATGTACATACATATGTATATGAACAGAGCTATAAAATATAATAACCCATATATCGATGCATATAAAAAATGTGGTCAAATTAACGTTGCGATGTGTCCTGGGGCAGGAGCATATAGTCCATTACATCAGATTGGCACAAGACTTCTCCAAGGTATTACTCCACGGGGTACGCACCTGTTGCCAACACAGCCTAATAAGCATCGTGTAGGGATTACGATCGTTAAAACACGAGCAATTATCGGGTTACAATAAGCTGGTGCAAGACGAGTAAGTCCGCTACTTCATTGCAGAGGAGCATTTTGTATTTGGACCACATGGCCCATCAATTTTTGGAGGGCGATGAGCAAATCTCAAGAGTTGTTTTTTTTAGTATCGCTCTCTTTCTCCGCAGAAAGACAAATGCTAAAGCATTCTTCTTGCATTTATTTTAGTCAATGGAATTCCAGAAACAAGTACAATAAAAAAAAGGAAGTGCGCCTGGGCCACACTGGAGAAGTGAAACTTACGTTACATATCTATTTTGTCTCATAACCCATATATATANGAGAAGTGAAACTTACGTTACATATCTATTTTGTCTCATAACCCATATATGTACATGCATACATACATCTGCTTTTGCTCAAGTTATATATTTTGTCTTTTTTCGATCTATATCCCCACTTCTACCCCTGTGCCTTCTAATTACATTTATGTATGTTATTCTGATTTCCTTTATCTTCATTTTTATCTTTATACTCTATCGATAACAAAATCGATAGTAACATCCAACAAAATATCGATAACAAAACCAATAAAAATATCTATAATCGATGACGAATTCGATAACAATTTCGATAGCAAAATCGATAATACTGGTAGCAAAATCGATTAGAAAATCGATAAAAATATCGATAGCAAAAATTGTTTAGAAAATCGATGAAAATATCGACAAAAAATTTATAAAAATATCAATAACAAAATCGATAAATAATCGATAACAAAAACGATTTCAACATCGACAACAGTATTGATAACAAAATCGACAAAAATATCGATAACAAATTCGATAAAAATATCGACAATAAAATCTACAACAATTTCGATAACAAAACCAATAACGATATCGATAAAGTACCGATAACAAAATCGTAAAAAATTTCGATTATAAAATCGACAACAAAATCCATAAAAATATCGATAACAAAATCGATAAAAAAATCAATTATATCGATAGGTTCCGAAGATATCGATAGCAAAATCGATAAAAATTTCGACAACAAAATCGATAACAAAAGCGATAAAAATAATGATTATTATTGTCTCGATAAGTCCCGAGAATACCGAAAATCTGTAAAATCCCAAAATAGTTCACTGATTGAGTTTCTTTTACCTTGTTTATACCGACACATAAAGCGCTTTGACCCAGTTCGCTGTGATTTCGAAACGGATGCATAAACTGAATTTGAAAAGGCGTTGAAATTGATAAGTGTATTGACTCGAATTTGTTTTCAAATCGGTTTTTTATTTCTCACATCGGTTACAAAACAGGTATAAACA